AGTGTGAATGTGAAAGCATGTTAAGGAAAAAAATCACAAATATGCAAATTGGATTCTTTAAACATGTATGGATAAGATAGTCATACACAGAAGAACATCCTTCATACGCAGAAGAACATCCTTCAGATACTTCGCTTATGTTTGATGCCCCTGCAAATAGGCTGTATCTAGTAAGTTTCCACGATGTAATTAACATGTTCATTATCAAGTTAATTTTAGTTGTGCTAACCTGCTGAAGTACATCCACTGTTGTGGATGCCTTATATTAATTTCCATGACTTTCTTAACAGATAAAAATGATTACAGTTCCCTGCCCCCTAATCTCTCCTGCTTAGGATTTTTCATTCGATGGTATTCCAACCAAATTCTGCTGTTCTGTAACAAGTCAGGGTAAGGTGAGTCAGTGTTAAACAGGATGAATGACCTGTTTAATTGAATTTAAGAATTGTACTTGCTGAACTACTTACAAAATTATATTTGGAATTTCAAAGATACTTCAGGCAAAAAGTACACGTTTAAAGAAAAAGTCTTTGTCCCTAGTTTGTCCATTTCTCTGCTTCGGGTGGTGCAGATGAAAAGTCGTAAGTAAAATGTGGAGCCAAAGTAACCACATCCGGTTTTTGGGTTGCCTCTGTTTTTTATTGCTGGATCTTTTTCCCCCTGGTTTTGTGGGATTTGGGGGGTGGGGTGGGGGTTAAATTAGAAGACATTTGTACATATTCAAAATGCAACTTTTTCTTTCCTTTTTCAGTGCTACAGTACTTGATTAATAAGTTATTTGGCAGTGTCACACCTAGAACTAATTCTTAAGGTCTGTGTTCTTTGATTTAGTGATATCTGGGCCCTTGGTTGTGTTCTGTATGAGATGTGCACGCTTAAACATGCGGTAAGTAGAAACTTAGTGTTTCTTTAAAAAAAATAATGATTTCCAACACAGGTCTTTTTCTTCACTGTCTTCATGCAAACTTTTTTTTCAGTTGGTGAAAGGCTTTCATGGTGACTGTTTAAAGTTAAGTTCAACACTTTAGTCTTCCTATACTGCCCGACATTTATCGTCTGTGTTTTGATTCATGCCAATCTCTGCAGAAATCTTAGCGCTGCATTTTTTGTTTTCCATGAATTATGTGTTAGCTACAGAGGTGTTAGGTGCAGGAACAAAAGTTACTATGCATAACTTTCCTTTCTTTCCAAAAAGTCGGCTTTTTCATTTTCACTGAGAAAGTCTGAATGTAGGCTGCCAGCTTTGTGCAGATGGATTCGTGTATTTCTTCGTTTAGAGCAGGTATAATTCTTTAAAAAAAAAAAAAAAAAAACTCCCGAAGTGAAACAGTTGTCAGTTTTTTATTTTGCTGGTTTGAAAAATACCTCTTTGTCATCCACTTTCCAGTTAATGAAGGAAAGAAAAAGCTTTTTTCTATCTCTTCTTGTTTGAGATTTAAAAATAGAATTTATGAGGGAGGGAACACTTCTGTCTTTTAAAAATAAATAAATTAGGAAGCTATTTATACTAAAAGAAAGATTATTACAAAATAGACATCAGAAAAAACTTTAAAGAGTCAAAGATTTCATTATAGCTTCTGTGATTTCTTGTTGCTGGGTCTTTTTTGCAGCAACAACACTTGTTGCCTCTCAGGGAGTTGACAGCAATAGGATTTCTTTTGTGAGCTGGTTGATAAGTACTTTTTTTTATTGTGCAAAGGAATTGGAATGTCTCTCTGCTTCCTGAGCCTTAGCTGAAATCTAAGCATTCCTTTGGATGTGGCATAGAATGAATGTGACTGCTTTACATCCTTCCATCTGAAAAGTGACTCCACTAAAAAGTACAGAAGGCATATGGTGGCTAAATGTTTTAGGCAAGGGGAGAGAGCAGATCAAGTATATTTAATACAGTGTTTCATAATATTTTATCCTTAACTATATATAAGAACATATGGACATCAGTCTAGATGTAAAAGGAGTTAATTTTTGTCAGCAAAGACAGCATATTACTTTTAGAATTTCAACTCTAGATCTCTATAGCATGGTGCGATCTATAGCATGACATCATCACTAGGCAGCAGGTTGTTTTAAACTGATGGTCTTGGAAATTCGTTTTGATACGTTGAGGCAAAGAAAGTCTTTTTTTTGCCACCTTTGTATGCAACCTTATTTGTGGGCACACAGTAATATGTAACAACTGTTTTCTTTCCTTTGATACAGTTTGAAGCTGGTAACATGAAAAACTTGGTACTGAAGATAATCTCTGGATCTTTTCCTCCTGTTTCTATGCATTATTCCTACGACCTACGTAATCTGCTGTCACAGTTATTTAAAATGAATCCTAGGGATAGACCATCAGTCAACTCCATATTGGAGAAAAACTTTATAGCCAAACGGGTTGAAAAATTTCTCACACCGCAGGTATGGAGATGATTTTAATTCTGATTTTGCCTGAAAACATCATAGGTCTTTCCTTTTTTATTCTAATGTCAATATGCAAGTTAAAATTGGAGTAATAGTATTTTCTAAAGTTTTTGTACAGGCATTTTCTGTTGAGGAAAAGGAACATTGTTATGATCTTGCTAAATTTACAGAACTGATAAAGTGAACAACAAAAAACAATTTCAAATTGCTTAAGTATTTGGTGGCTTTACAAACAAATTAAAATTGGCATTTTCTTTTTCTCTCAGGAGCACTGTTTTGTATTTCTTTCTATTTAGTGAGGAATTGTGAGTCAGATATTGATTTGTTTAGATATGCATTGTTGCATAAAATGGCACTGATGAGGACTTCATCAATTCTTTAATGTAATTTCTTCAATCTGTTATTTTGTTCTTAATTTGGAATGGCCTGCAAATTTATTCTGTGAAATATTGCTAAGTAAACTAATCATTCAATTTCTTGATGCTTAAATGCACCTCTTTGTATACAAGCTAGAAGGAGTAGCTCAGGATTCCATGTTGGATCTGTTGACATCTATTGATGTCATTTTAATATAGTTGAAAAGAGGGCAAGAAGAACAAATGGAGAATAGTACTGGCCTTATGAGGTAAGTAAATACAGACAGAGAAAGGACATGGAAAAAATGAATGCAAAAGGAGGCCTTCTTAAGTATAAAGAATTCTAATGGACTATACTTTGAACTATTATTAATTGAAAGTCTTCTATATACAGTGGAAATTCTGATTATATATGGGTCCTTCTCTTCTAAATTTCTTTATCTCTGAATTACAAGTTTCATTGAAAGGTAAGGTTAAGAAGTCTTTACAACTAAGCTTGTTGTCCTAACCTTTACAGCAGTAATTCTTTGATCTGATTTTTATTTCCAGTAGCTCAAATGGATATAATATTTTTATTTGAGGTTATTCAGACTTTACTAATATTAAAAAATATTAATTATAATAAATTACTAATTAATAATAAACCACTACCACATGATGATGCTATTTTCTCCTCAACTGAATAAAAATACTTGAACACAGTTTTTCCAACTGATTCACTGACGTATTCAGCTTAAAGGGATGCTACCTAATTTAAAGCAAAAAAAAAAAAAAAAAAAAAAAAAAAAAAAGAAAAAAAAAGTACCTTTTCCAGACTGTATTAATCACAACTACATACATATTCAGAGGAAGGTGATTTTTCTATGTTATAACTGTAATACCTGTTTTCTTTCTGTTTCATCCATGATTAATCTTGTTGTGCTCAGCTTGCTTTAGTCTGAGCTTCAGAGAGCTTCCTTAGGTATATGTCATCATCAACAGGGCGCAACTGTTGTTGAAATCCTGCTCTTAGCTGACAGCAAATCGGTCCACTAGGGTTATATGAATTCTTAATGTTCTTAGTTAGTAAGTCATAGTAAAGAGCGCATTTAAATTACAGAGCATCGCTGGGACGGAAGGAAAAAAGGCTTGAAATGTACTCAAGAGCCGTGTCTCTTTTGCACAAACAGCTCTTGTTATTGTAATACCATACTTCAGTTGTTCCACTCACAGCTCACCAAACAGACAAAAGCTTTAAGGCCATTGAAATACCAGTAGTAGAAGACTGTTCTCGTGTGTGACTTCTTGCTTTTGATGATAGACTATACAGGTTAAAAAGTTTGTCTCTGCCATGGTGTGCAGTTTTAGGTTCTGTGCTTTAGTTCTTTTAGGGTTTTTTTTTTTTAATGTGGGTTTTTTAGTTGTTTTTAGTTTTAGTTTTTTTTTTTTTAATTTTTAACTCCCCCCAACATCCATTGTAACTGGCTGGTAATCTCTAAGTAAAGCAAAATCATCTGGATAGGTCAAGGTTCTATAAAGACTATTCCTTAAAACTTTGGGATTTTGTGATTAGCCAGTCAGCGTTGCTAATAATCATTGTCAGAACACTATGCTTTCCTGGCATGCTTTAGGTCTTGAAAGATTGTTTGTAGTATAGCCTTTATCTGTTTGTGTGTAGCTGTACCATCATAAAAATTCTTTTGCTGTTGACATCCTTTGAATGTTCTGCAAGTGGTCTGTAGAATCGCTTACCTGATGCACTTGAATTTGGTAAGAAGTCTGAAAGCAGGAAGTTAGCACGTGAGAACACAGTGCTAGGTCTGCTAAAAATCACTCTTGTTCCTTATGCTGTGGGACATGAACACTGTCCATAAACAAATGCCTAGTGAAGAGTATAAGAACATGGCGAGCTTTCCTTCTTCTACTTTGTTGTAGCTGACTTCAACAAGGATATTCTACGATCTGTTATACTTAATGTGTCTAACAGAACTCCATATATGTTGTTAATAGAAATCCATATGTACAGTCATCTTCCCATTTGAAAAGAATAGGGAAACAAAAATGCCTAAACATTTCTGAAGGACTCTTTTTTTTTTTTTTTTTTTTTTTTTTGAGGTTAGGCTGTCTGAGAAATTGAAATGAGATTTGAAAACTATACAGAAGTCTAAAATAAACTATGCACAAAACCATGTTGGTGTTCGCATTTAATTTTCTTGCAGCTGTAGTTAGCTAGTTTATAAATGGGGTAACAAGTGCCAGGCTGCCCAGAAGTTAGACTAAATCATTGTTTAAAATCATATGAGTATTCTACCAGAAATGATTTAAAATATTGAATCCAACTTCATATTAATTCTAGTGATAATAAATTCAATGCATAGAGTTGAGTATTCGTTTAAATTTAGGTTACAGCAGATACAATTAGTTAGAAGCCTACTAAAAAAGTATAGGTATTTTTCTGAAAAGGAGTTCTCCTTTTTTAGCTTCAGACATAAATATTGTTTGCTAACAGTTCAACTTTTTGTTTAGCTTATTGCAGAAGAGTTCAGTCACAAAATCTTCCAGAAGTTGGGACCTCATGCTGCACCAGGTAATCAAGTGTGTAAAAGTACTTTTATTTTCAGTTCTGGTAAGATAGTATGTGTATAAATGTATCACTGTTCTTCTATTGTTTGGGATTTTTTTTTAGTACACGATTCTAGAAATTTCAAGAGAAAACAGGGGGAAGTAATACTCCTCTTTTCCTGGAGAGCTGGATGTATGTAACCTACAAATCATACCAATAAACTATGTGTCTGTACACTTTTAGGTGTACTTTTACTCTTACAGTATGTTACACTTACAAAATTTAAAGAGATAGTAAAGACTGCAAATATTGTTATTGTAGGGGGGTTTGCCTTATTAATGGCAAATGGTTAATGAGAAATACCATTTCTTACAAAATTTGGGATATTTTGTTACTAATTCCAAGATTAAGTCCTGACTACAGCCCAAAGCAGTGAAATTTCTGCTACTGGTAGCAAATCAGTTTGTGATTCAATTTTGCAAGATGATCTGTTTTTAATTCATTTTCTTGTACTGGTTACTTTACTTCCTTTTAACTAGAATTTCTTCTCCTCTCATTTTATTTCATTTTATTTTCTTGTAATCATTTGGAGCTGTGGTAGGTGCTTTGGTGGGTTTTTTTTTTTTTTTTTTTGGATCATCCTGTGGCAAGTGTTTCGTTGCTATTCTGTAGTAAAACAGCCCTTCTAGCACAGAATCAAATTTGCAAGATGATATTGGCATATTTGCAGGAACTTTATAGGGGAACAATATCCCCAAAGGTTGCTGAAACAGTAGCTCTGCTAGGACTCTTCTTTTGCTGAACTGAGTTCTGCAGGGTGCAGACCAGTGTCATTGGTGGAGACATGCCACTAGAGGAATTCCATTTGGAATGCTTTTCCCCCGTCCTTGACAAATGGATAATAAAACATGGCAGCTGGAATAAGAAGTTCCGGTTCTTCAGGTTAAAGTGAAATGATCAAAGTGAAAAGGTCAGGGATTGTGTTCTGCTGTTTCTTATCAAGCATGAGGTTTCGGAAAGCTGTTTTGGACAACTGGATATATTGCACATATCAGCTCATATGAATGAAATGGTTATCAGTTCACCTATTCTTCTCGAGTTCTGCTGTCCCAAAAGCTGCAAAAAGGGAGATGTGCATTGGCAGGCCTGGATATCCTTGTAAAAGAGTCTTCTCTTGTCTAGCAAAAAGACCAGCTCATGGACAAAGCTTGGCATCAGTTGCACCAGCTCAGAAAATTACCAAGCCTGCTGCAAAATACAGAGTGCCTTTAATGATTAAGAAACCTGCTGATGCGCCTAAAAAGACTGAGAAGAAGGCATTGATTAAATACGGACAGGTAAGAACCCAAGTAACTTAAATTGAGCTGTTTTGTTTGTACGTATTAAAATGATATGAAAATATTAGGCATTCCTTTTCAAAATATCTTTTATATGGACACATGCAAAAAAATTGTTTAAATGCTTGCTTTCTATGTGTTTCCCTCTGTTGGTGTTGACCTCCCTTAGAAATATTGGAAACCTATCAGTTATACCACGATCACTGTCACTGGATAAGAATCTTTGAATCTTTCTTCTTTGTTCAAGAGAAACCTCCAAATTTCAAACCCTAGAAAACTTTTTTTAGTTATTTTCTAAAGTGTTGTCAGGAGGAGAAATTGTATAAGCAGATGAGGAGTTTTGCAGACTTTACTCCATGAGCTAATAAAAAAATGTTTTTCTGTATACCTTCATACAGTACTTCTAATCTTCCCTCTAGTCACCTATCTCTACACACCCTATTACATTAAAAACACCCTATTTTTCCCTCTTGATTCCTTTAATTGCTTCATGACCAAGAGATGTTACATGATACAACTAGGTCTGAACTACATGCACATGCCACAGACCAAACAATTGGTAGGAAGCTCCCACTTCAGCTTTTTTCCACTCTCAGCAGGAGAACTAATTGAAATTTTCTTCTGAATGAGTGTGGTTTTTTTTCTCCTTCTCCCCACGACACTTCTGAGAATGTAATATTGAGAACGTATCTCTCTACACCTGTCAAATTTTTGATAGAAGTTATCCTTGACGTTCAAAAGTTATTGGAGGATTAGGGGGGAAATTGTCAATGATCACAAAAGCCTTATTTCCCTAAAATACAGTTTAAAAAAGAGAACAAGCTGCTGTGTGTTGCTATGAGACCATGATGCTTTTTTCTGTTTTAAGGCTTGGTTGCATGATCATCTGCTAGTCTGCAGCTGCTTATAATCAGTTTCCCCAGCCAGCCGAAAACCAACCCATTACATAGAGACCCAAAGCCTTCACAGTGACAGGAGTCTATATATTTTCTTCATTCTAGTATGTTCTTTGCATGGATTTTACCTAGTGACTAGAGATAAGATGTAGCATAGAAAAATTGGCTACAGTGTCATATAAATCCTCTTCTCTTTGCTGTCCCTTCAGGGTAGTCTGATCTTGCAACTGTTAACTGGCTTTTCAAAGGAGCACGTAACAATAATTTCCTTTGTTTTACTGATATTAGCTCATTGTAGTGGAACTACACTGGCTGAGGTTTCTAAACCTTCTAAAGGTTTCCTATTTCATTTAAAGTACTAAACTGATACGATTTTTAGGTTGTCAAAAAATTTATGAAGCTGTAAATAAGTGTGCTTCTATAGTCAGAGTAAACATGCTTTACTAGTAACCATCAGTTATCTAAGAAGGAGATTAGAATAAATGCATAGCTTATTGTGCACCACTGTTTCTTTACTAGGTGTTTGACAGTCGCTTCATTCACCTCTTCCATAGGTAGCAAGAACTTGGGTAATGTTACCCAAGCAAAGATCCTCAGGATAACCTAGTAAATCTATTTTCCGAATGAAAGTTTACCTTAATATCTAGGGACCCTAGAAATAATATGAACAAATTGTAGTATGGAATGGCATTCTCAGAGGAGAGAAATGAAGACAAAAGTGCCAAAAAATTACTACCTTCAGCTTTCTAGAGAGAGAGATCTCAGTAGAGGATGAACAAGTACAGTAGCGTTAATCCTAGATCTTAGCAGTGTTTTTAATTTAAAAACTCCCGAATAATATTGTCAGCCCTGTTTTACACATACTGTTTTGTGGGTTAAAGAATCTCTCGGATTCTCTGATTTCTCTCATACTATCTAATTTAAAGTTTCACCTTTTATCCAGGCCTTTCCAATTCCAGGGAAGAAAATAAATACAGAAGAAAGGAGGAAAATGTTTGAGGTATAATGAAATCATCTGTGAATTTTCAAACTATGCAGAAGCTAAGTCCAGAACAAGGATGAAAAAATAAAACCTGCAAACATTTCCTCCTTATTTCTTTTTTCCCCTACCTAACATTAATTTTTGTCTTCCTGGGCATACCCCAGCCATTGGAGCACTAACCGATATTGACAGAGACTTAAAAGAAAAATGGCTCAGTAATAAATACTAATTATATGCTTATTTTTCAGGAAGCTGCAAAAAAGAAAAGGTTAGAATTGCCTGAAAAAGAAAAACGCCAGCGAGATCAGGTATACTTCTGCCTTTTTTTTTGTACCTGTAATAACTTTAATGAAATATTTTGCTGTGTGTTGTGTTATATGTTGCCTAGGAATATAGAATAGTTCAATTTTCCAGTTACTACATATATTTAATTTTTCTTAATAAATAAATTGCATACCAGTTTACTGAAGGCAGTCCAGATGTGAAGACTGGAAAAGGAAGGGGTAAAATATGTTTAAAATGTGTTTTACGTAAAATGTTTCCTTGAATTATATTTTCCTTTATTGTTTTCTCCTTCAGATGGAACGAATAAACAGAGCCAGGGAACAAGGATGGAGGAATGTGCTTGGTTCAGGTGGAAGTGGTGATGTTAAGGTTGGCAGCAGATGCAGAAATGTGATGTAGCCTGTTTCCCTTCCCTTTGCCTCCCCCACCATTGGTTATTTGGCCTAGGCTTCTCTTTTCGGAAAGATCAGCTCTTGGAGCTCAACTCTTAGAGCTGCCCAATGTTAATCTATGGATAATTTCTAAGAGAGATTGTATAACGCTCCTTCCCTGCCTTTTTGGAGATCGTGTGCAGTTTGCCTTTTTAATACTTATTAAATTTTAGAATCTCCTGGGTTTTGCCAGAGACGGTTTTCATACTCCCCTTTCTTTTTTCCACTTCTGCTTTTGCTACTTTTCCTGTGCTGAATCTATGCATGAACAGTTTATTTCACATTCAGGCTTATTCTTGAAATTTTTTGTTGAAATGTTTTCCAGGTTCTCATATTATGCCAATGGACCATTTGCCCAGTATTTAAAACATGCTTCTGAGCATTTTCTGTTTTTTACCAACATAAATGAGAATGTCAGTATATATTGAAAAGTTGGCTGTGATGGGGAGGAAAAAAAAATCCTGAGTAAATTTTAAATGTTTTTTTTTTTTTTCCTGAAAGTTCACTTCTTGCACAGTTGAATTACACAACTTAATCTGATTCTTGTGACGGTTTCATTTTGCCTCTTTTTTTGTATCTCAGTTCCATGGAAATGTAACTGTTCTGGGAAGTAGTCAGTCTCTTGAAGATCCTTGAATGTTAACATCTGAGTCCTCCACTTTCATCAGGCAGAGCCAGTGCAGAATTAAGTATTGTCATGGTGCAAATCTATCTGACAGTATAAAATGGATTACTGCCACCAATGGCTGTATTTTAATGATTCTGACAAATACTTGTTTTAAATGTTTAGTGGAGTTTTAGTGAACAAGCTCTGAATGAAGAGTAGAGTTAAAATGAGTACAGGTTTTATTTTCTGTTCCATGTACAATAAGAATATGAAGAGAGTACAAATATGTGGTCAAGTTTCACTAGCTATTTACTAATTATCTGTGTTCTTTCAAAATAGAAATCATCTTTGGATGTGTGCCGTATCATATAGATAAAGTTTAGATATAAAAACAAACTTAAAAATGACAGACTTTCAGAAGTAGCAGGTGCTGGTTGAATGGGGAATCAAAAGAAATCTTCTGGGTCCTGTACATCCCTTCTCTCAAGTTAATGCTGCAGACACAATGCAAGCTTCCATACAATGCAAACTTTCCATCAATGCAGGCTGCATAGCCTCTTATGAAGGCACAGAAGGGTAACAGGCTGCATGACTTTCTTTTCCTGTCTTCCTTTTGAGAGACTAGATGCTGGCACCTGTTTCTGAAGGGAAGTAGTGAAAGAAGATGACCAGGAGTTGACTTGGGGTTTGTGGTTCTAGCAGGGGCTCTAACTGTTCTGCAGACTGTTGATGAGCATCCGCTCCAGAGCGTTGGCCTAGAGAGTGATCATACTAATTCATTAGATAATCGTTTTGAAAACTGAACTCTAACAATTATAGGTGAAACCTTGAATAGTGACTAAAGCAGTGCTTTGCATTTGATTGGTAGAAAAAGGTAGGCTTGTATAGTAAATTATTTTTATCTGGAGGAATAGCATGCTGGCGTATTTATTTGAATGCCTGGATAAATCTTTCTGTCAGCATTCTATCATATGGATTAAGAAGGAGCTATTAATAGGTGGTGAGCAATCGAAACTCTAAGAACATGAACTAAATTCCCTTGTCAAGTATAATCTATTCAAGAACACTTATTTTAAATGGGCAATTTTAAACCTGTCACATCTGCACTGACTATTTGAATGTACGTAGAATACTTCAGACCACTCTGGAAGGAACATCTACACTTTTATTAAAATAAATTCTATAGATTCACTATCATGGGCTATTTGACCACTCCCACAGGTATAAAGTGAACATTTTTATGCATGTGCTGACAACCTTAACTTTGTTTTGCCAGTTTCACGTTTTCTGCATCCATCCTTGGCTACTACTATTTGCAGCTGCTTGCAATATTTTTTTTTTTTATTTTTACATGGAGATTCTTTAGAGATTTTAATTCTTTGAGAATGAGAGAAATGTTTTCCATAAAGGAGTAACTTGTGGTAAATGTTCACCTAATCTGAGCATTAGATGGGGAGCTTCTCAATTCTGGTAATGCAACCAAATTATAGGCTGGTAAAAATGGGATTCTCAAATAAATCTGCACTTGAAATAACAACTTAATGCTGCTGAGCAACCCAAAAAGTGTGCTTAACTGTTTCCAGCTTTATTTTTAAATGGCTGTTTGGATACAAGTTACTCATTAGTACTTCAGTTAGCGCTGTATCACTTTTAGCTTTTGTGCAAAAAGCTTGATTTATGCCATGTAGAACATCAGCTATCTCTGATTACGCTTCAGTGGAACCTTTACCAGTAACTTCCAAAATATCTGACAGATGTCACATATGTAATTAAACTATTATGAGAGGGAGGTAAATACTCTTTTGTTTTGGAGTGCAAACTGGAAAGTAGATTTTTAATTTATCAGTCTTGTTTTGGTGTATTAAAACAGGAACATGCCAGAAATAAAAGCACTAGCACCAAATCAGAATTGTTGCAGAACGTAGTAATGCTTTTATTCTGCTAGGGAGATAGAAATTGGAAGGACTTCTTAAGACCAATATTTAAGATTTCCATCCTAACCCTTCTAATTTCCAGGCACCATATTATGGTGGTGGTGGAGGTGTTGGTCCTTTTCCTGCGTCTTCCAGAGGACAATATGAACACTATCATGCTATTTTTGATCAGATGCAACAGCAAAAGGAAAACATTAAAGTAGCTGAAGAGAGGGAAGCCAAATGGAGGGCAGGTGTACAAGGCCGAGAAGCTGTTGAAAGGTACGGCTACCTTCCATTAGAAGTTGCATGTGGTCTGCTTTAGATGAAAGTAATGAAAGTTACTGTACATATTTATCTACAGAGGAATTCCACCTGGAATACGTCCAGGAGTTCCTAAGGGGCCTGCAGGTCATCACCATTTACCTGATGCTGATGCAATTAGGAAAAAAATGAAAAGATTGAAGGAGGTGTCTAAACAAGCCAATGCAAACAGGTTGGACTATGATAATCCATAAATATGTCCCTACGTGTTAGACTTCTGTTCTGTGTCTTGTTTCATTTGGTAGTTTGAGATGTCTCAAAACCACTTTTATCCATTGGTACCGTGCTGTCTGTTTGTGTGTTGGTCCCTCACAGACCACAATTCTTTTAGAACCAATGGATACCTTGGCTTCCCCGACAGCAGAAAAAATAAGTCACTAACAATTGTAACTGGACAAGATATTGACCGAAATGCGTGGTTTAGTGCAGTTACAGTCTAGATAACGCCACAAGCCTCCTTTTCTTTTTTCATAGTTCTACTTCTGTGTTACTGGCCAAGGTGCTTCCTCCACTTTTCATCTCATTCTGAGTGCCTTCTCACTGTCTAAGCGTTTGATTCTCTAGCATAGAGCACTTAGAAAGCTCTCCTGTATTTTGCTGCTGCAGACTTTTTAGCTCCCCTGTCTGTTGGTGAGCAGAAAATTTTTAGGAGCTTTCTTCAAAAGATGTGAATACCAGGTGTCATAATGCAGTGCAACTTCTGCTTCTGTGATACTTAGTCTTGGCAATTACTGTAAAGTGCGTATGCACCTCATATGCAAGCAAGCAGTATTTCATTTGTGGTTTCTCTCTTTCAGGCAGTTTTTTCAAAGCTGCTTTACTTTCTTTCAGATCTGTTAATGTTGCCCCAAGGACTGTGTTTGCACTAGAGAGCAGTAAATGGGGAAATGTTCTTTTTAGTAAGTCAGTGCTTGAGCATTACTCACTGAATAAGCTTCTCAGTTAGAGGGACAAAACTTTCTCATACATGATCTAAACTTCTGCAGATCCAAAAATGCGTTCCATGGATGGAAGAATAAGTGGAGGTAGTGTGATGAAAAGGAAGTGGCTAGAGAAAACGTTCTTCCAAATTTTATTTTATTCAGTTTTATATATATATGTATGTGTGTGTAATATATATTACTTTTTAGGTTTTCTGTTTTAAAATTTACAAAAATATTACGGTAGCACATGTTGATCTTTCAAAAGAGAAGGTATATACTCTTTTCTGTATAGCAATTTGGGCCATTGTGAGCTATTTAAAATTCTTTCTGATACACCCCAGTACTAGAAAATGTATTTTCCCAGCTGACATAGATATTTTTTCATTCTCCTATGCTTATTCTCAACTCTTTGCACACAGTGCCACAACCCCCAATCACGTCTGCCTGAGGAAACATTATTAATGTTTGCCTCACGCATCTGGCAGTATTAAACGCTATTTGGCTACAACTAGGTAAAATGTTTTTAATGTATTTAAATGCAGAAGAAATATAGTATAAGTCTGCAAATTATCAGTAAAATGTGGATGAAGAAGAGGAAATGATGATTCGTTAGTTCTGAAATCCATAAACTCAAAAACACTCAGAATTCCAGGCAGAAGTTTCAAAACAAATAGAGATTTTTTTTTCCTGTTTGAGTATTGAGATACTTTTTTAGTATTTAAAATATGTTAAATATTTGTATTTTATTATCTAGAGATAATTTTATTATCCTAGCAAATACAATAATATTTCTCTCCTCTGCTTTATTGATTCAACTGAAGGTGAAACATAAAGATATTCAGGATGTTTAGCTAAAACAAAGAACTTAAATGGAACTTTTCTTAAAGACAGATGATTTAAAGTATATATTAAAGAAACTGAGAAATTCTTAAGTTGTGATCTTTCTGGTTATATTACTGCATATAACATAAAACTAAATACATCTTCAGCAATCTTTAAAAGTTGTCTCTTGGACGGTAATGTAGCCCAGAAGAAATCTAGCTGAAAAATTTTTAAAGCCATATGATTCCCTTTGAGTAGGGAAAAACAAATCATCAAGAAGTTTAGTTGGAATAAGTATTTGCTGTGGACTTGGTATGAGACAGTTTTCTGCTTGGGAAGCACCTCTTCTACGATACTGTAAGCTAAGCTTCACCTGTATGGCAGGTGTTTTGACAGAGTTTATTATCCACTCAAGGAGTTAATGAACAGTTTCAGTCAAAATCTTGCAGTAAGTCAAATAATATTTGTATGTAAAGATTATCAAGTGTTTCTTTCTTTCCCAGTAACACCTCTGTGGACCAGATTGTATTTTCAGAGCAGCTACAGGATTCATTTTATTGTATCAAAGTACTTGATCTCTGACTTTCTCTTAGTGAATTACAGCAAATGGAAATACAGTTTCATTTCCTCATTGCTGGGGAGGGGACGGAGTGGGGAGGGAGGAGGAGGGAGAAGGCCACAAGATGGAAGGGTTTTTAATTAGCATGCTAATTCATTTGTGATTTACCAGTAATAGCGCCTGTATTGCAAAATGATTCTTCCTTAACTGTTTCAGCCTGATGAGTTATTGTTGTCAACTTATTCCAATTTCTTCCAGCCTGTTGCTGGACTCCCATTACTTTTCAGTCAGAAGAGGGTAAGGAGCCAGGGAAAGGAGATTGCTTCTTTATTCTGTTAGAATCTCTTAACGCCAGTCTGCAGTTTCTTTGATGGAAAGCTTTCCTGTTAAGTCCGCTTCTAACTAGTTTGTCAGAAACTCAGTGCCTTACAGAATGATCATATGTACAAGGAGGCTTGCCAGGTGCTCAGTTACAATAACTTGAACATTGCTGCCTTATCCACCCACAGTGGTGCCTGACCTGGGAGGGAACATATGAAAAAGCATCCTGTTCTGGCTAATTCTGCAGTAGGAAAAATTCTTTCCCTGTTTCTCTAAAAACAAACATAAATCCCCCCACAAAAGCAGTTCCCGAATACCCACAGAATACTAGCACTGTGCTTATCCAAGGGGTAGAAGCTCTTACTCCAAGTATAGGTTAGACTTGAAAGACTTCTGCAGTATGGTTCTAGCTGACTGGCTCATGTGATGAGTTCTTGCCCATCTCTAAAGGAAAACCTTAAAGGACTATGTCCTTTTTCACAAGTGATAGCAGTAATGGAACAAGCTGAGACAATTTCAGAAATTATGACACTATGTTGGTTTTGCCTTTGATTTTTTTTTTTTTTTTTTTTTGGTGACCAGGATATAGAAAGACAATACAGTGTTTTGGATTTTTTAGTTGTTCTTTTAACCTAGTTCATCTTACCTTCTTAGGTTTTGTGAAAGTCTGAATTGTGTTTTACCTGATTAAAAGGGCTTTTTAGAAGAAGTCTTACTCGTAGAAAGCTGCTTTTTCTTTGCGTTCTAGTTAACGTGTAAATGCTGTTGTTAGTTTTTCTTTTTCTTTGTTTGGTTTTTGGAGTGTTATATTCAGAGACTTTCAGCTTGATATATGTTGCAATTACTCAGGCAAAAAGGATGGGTAGCTGCAGAAAGAGAAAAGCAAGTTGAAGAATTCTGGCAACGGAAGAGAGAAGCCATGCAAAACAAAGCTCGAGCTGAGGGACACATGGTATGGAACCTGGTCTTCCTATATACATTACTGTTCCAGCATGCTTTATGAACCTTTAAAATAACATGATAGCCATAAAATGCTCGGTAAATATTTTCCGTGCATATTAAGAAAAGGGAGAGGATACATGCCTTATTTGTGCATTTTATGTTCATGGTTTTATTAAAACATAACAGAATTGTGTGTGATACATTTCACCAAGATTCTGAATTTGTCAACGAAGCAAAAATTTATTTTGTGCACATCTGATTCGATGTTGTGAGTTTTAGAATATTAGTTGCCAGTTTTGTTGGGTTGCTAACCTTAAAATTTTGGTTAAAATTAAACTTTGTTCAACAACTTGAACTTAAAATGAAGTTTCCTGAACTAATAGCTCAGCTACAATAATGCATTTTACAAACAAAAAAAAAAACCACTGCTTATTAACCAAATATCATAAACATCCATCTTTGTCAAAGTTGATGTTTCCAAAGTTGTTATACTTAGAGGTTGAAACTCTTGAATGATGTCACATGTTCTTTGTTCTTTATGCTTACAATTCTAAATTCAATGTTCTTCTAGGAAATCTATTTCACAGTACAAAAGTCTTGGAAATGACTCATGCTAGGACTTTTTGTGTGGTTGAACTACATATTCTCAAAATATGGAGAGTTTTGCTTTTTGAATGCTTTTTCACACTATACACTTAAAAGCAAGTCTCAGTATTGTTCTCTGCTGATTAAATGAAACCAATTATAGTGTCATTGCAGTTAGATGAGAGCGAGTGCAGCTTTAGAGCAGCGTATCTGTAGTTAGTTATATTTGAGTATCAAATCATGAGTTACAGCCAGCTTGTTGTTTCAGGGATAATTTCACTTACATTAAGGAATTTTGAAGTACTTTGATTCACTGCCTTGATGGTGAAATTTCCCTAAATTAGTGTATTCATTTTTAAGCATGAATTTATTATTTAAAAGCGATGTTTCTGTTTTAAAACATCCAAGACCAGTAAAACATTTTCATAAAGTGAACAATTTCTGTTTTGGTAAGACTGCATCTTCATAGACAAGTCCTTAGTGTAGTGCCTATATCCATTTTGTTCTTGACTTTGTTGGCATTAATATAGGTGTATGAGAACAGTTTAATGCAAGCTATTCCGAGAATTCTATTTCTCAGGTTTCTGCCTGCCAGGTAAGGTATTTAGCTGCACCCAAACATTTTGCACTTACTTGCTGCTGTAGTAAAATGGAGAGGTTACTGAACAATTGTAAAGGTAATTTTCAGATTCTTAAGACATAGTAATTCTAAATCAGGGTTCCAAATTCATGTACATGGCAAATCTGCTGTTGATGGCAGAAGCCCTCAGCAGCTTCCTTCTGTTTGTGCTGGAAAAGACCATGAGTAGCTGGCAGTAATTCTTACATAAATAGTCTGGATGATCTTGCTATCGCTAATCTGAGAGGCAAAATCGGTAGGAACGGTCAACTAATATGGAGCTTTTAGCTGTGTAAAGACTTGGGAGTAAGGCAAATGACTTACTCTGGCTTGCCAAACATCAGTTAAATATAGTAGCTATCAATTCTGTTTTTCAAGTGACAGTCTCAAGTTTAACTGAGTATTTGAGTGAATGGTGTTTTCAGTCATCCCTTCTTTAAGACAGCTGCCTCTGACCTAATTTGCTGTTTAACTCTAGCTGTATGGCATTGTAAAACCTTGAGTCCTGGTTATTTTGAATCTTAATATGTGTTCATCTAGGTAGATGAGTAAATTGCTAAGTGTTAACAGTGTGCAGTGATAATATCAGTTCTGAAAACTCTTGCTTGCTTCCACTTCCTTTCTTAGTTAAGAGCAGTGGTATAAATCACCATCAGTTTGATGAGAAAGCGTAGAACTAATCTGAATGCGAGCATGAAGAATGATGAGTTAATTCTTAAAGTGCCAACTGGCTTTTGTAAAGCTCAGGAACATGCATAGAATAATTAAAATGAAGTAACTTCTCTGAAAAGGTGAATATGGAAAATATTCCTGTCCTATTTCTTGGCTCAACACTCATGCTGAAATCAGATTTCATTGAAGTCCTTCCTTGTTAATGTATGCTGCTACTTATCATGAGGATGATTCTTTTAATTGGTTCTCTGACCCCCTCTAGTGCCTAAACCACAGAAGTTTAGAAATATGCTGTTACTTTTAATTGCTGGGTTTTAGCTCTATCTTGAAAAAATATTTAGCCAGATTTTTTTTGATCTAGTCCTTTCTGTCAAGAATTGACATGCAAGTGGTTCCCAGTACTCAAGCTTGAGAAAGCTAAAGCCCTGATGTTTTATAAGGCGGAAGATACATGTAACCATCACATGTATGCTTTCTGTCTGTATTGTATGTAGATTATACAGATTTAGAAGTAAGCTTTTATTCTGAGTTAACAAATCAGGATATTTTAACCTGCTCTACAGAGGCTTATGCTGTATCATTATTTACCGAAAAAATTTAGATATGATTTTTAAACCAGACAGGTAACCTTGAGTTAAGTGGTTCTTGTACTGTCTTATTCTCGACTTCTATTTTTATTCCCTTTATAGGTTGGTTGAATCCCTTTGACAAATAGGGCACAAATTACATCACGCTAACCAAGATTATACATTGTAAATGCATATGTATTAGGCAGTTAACGTAGCTTGTTCAATGTAAAAGGTAAAATGTAATAAGCACATATGAGTATTTTATGAGTGTTTGAGTTTGCTACTTGCAGAATGTAAAAAAATTAAATTTGTCATGATAATGGGTAATGCTTAATACAAGAACGTACAAAGGTTCCATTTTTATTTTAAGCTTGGCTCGACAGCAACAGAAATGCCAGCTATGTGCCACAATTTGTATATAATCCAGATGTAGAAAAACTCATGCCCCTTAAAACTTCAGCTAACACAACTGTAGAAGATCAGGAAAAAGACAACTGTATTATTAAAGCTCTAGCCTCTCTATTTGGCTACTCAGGATATTTAATTATTAATAAATGTTTCCTGCAAATAAAAGGGGTTGCCAGTTAACTTCAGAGCAAGTGCAGATCATTGATTCAATTTCTTGTAAGTAAGCAGTTGTTATTGGATAAAGCAGATAATTTTACAGCCCCAGCCATCTTAAATTTGATCCCATTAAATGGCAAACAGGGTACACTGCAAAACGTGGCAGATATCTATGGAGGCAGGCCCATTTCTGCAAGAGGAAGGAAATCCAGAAACAAGGAGGAAGAGGTATGCTTGCCGCATGTTTGCCACTTTCATCACACAAGTAGCACCATTTCGACCTTGACTCTGCCTAGTTTTCCTGCATGGTCCATCTGTGTAACAAAATAAAAGGATTTCATGGATTCCTAGGAAATGATTTATTGTATACCATCCCAGAGGTGGGTTTTTTGTGGTGGTGGTGGTGGCTTTTCTTAATAATGGTAAAATAATAGTTGTCTACAGCAGTCTGTTTCAGAGAGGTTCTTGAATGTGCATACACGCAGACGTGACTCCATATGTCTTAATCCTTTTGTAATAAATATAACTACTCCTAGCTCCCTTGATTCCATGCAGTTTAATAGTAGCTTAATGTTGGGGAACCTAGGTTCCAATTTTCTTTTTTTTATTAGATGTGTTTTTTCTGGAGGTTAATGAATGCTAATATAGTGATAGCAGTGGTGGGGTTTTTTCCCCTGTTTCATTGGACTTTTTGCTGAATCTTACATATTTTAAATTAAAAACACTGCAAAGGGCTTCCGTCTAATTGAAACTTTTTTCTTTCTTTGCCTTAGGAATATTTGAAAACATTAAGACAGATCCGGCTACAAAACTTCAATGAACGTCAACAGATTAAAGCAAAACTTCGTGGAGAAAAGGTTGGTTTGAGAAATAATCTTTAAAATTTTGAGAAGTTGTCAGTGGGTACTGCTCTTTCATTCCTGCAGACAGACCTTTTCATCAGAAGTTGTATATATAAGTGTGTGTGTGTGTGTATATACATATATATATATAAACGATTAACTTTTTTTCACAGCAAGTACCTCCATCTCTTCTTCCAGAATAAACAAAAATCTATCTGATATTTCTGTGTTGGGAGTGCAGCTTCGGTGTCTGTAAACATGATCTTTTAAAAACAAGACAACATAAGTATACATCTGAATTTGCAATAAGTTGCTCATGAAGCACTAGCACATTTATAGCACGTTGCTTTCAATTATAGGAACTTCTCCAGAGTTTTTGACAATGCTCACACTGAACGTGTGTGAATTGATTCTTTTCGTACGTTCTGTAGATGTGTTAGAAATTAGAGATTCTTAGCGTTAGAACTGAGAAATTCCTAGCGTTAACTTGGTTTTTATTAATACTCTTCTTCAGACGTTAGTTTTCCAAAACCAAGTTCATAATGGATATAGCGCCAGCACTTTTTCAGGTGTTGAATATATAATCCATGACAAGCTTGGATGCAATTAATCTACTTGTTAAAACGTTTCATCTGAGGGGCAATCTTCATGGTAAGTAGTGTCTGGAGATTGTTTCCCTCCTTTCATTAACCTACTATGTGATCTTATACTCTTAAAAGTGTCTTAGAGTATTTGAATTTCCTCAAGTGATTACGTGCTTACATTTTCACGTTGTACTTATGATCTGTAATTTGAAACCTGAAAAGTATCCCTGTCCCCCCTCATTCAGTGTCTATACTAGGTGCTTTCATGCATTCCTTACACGAGTGGACATATAAGGTAGGGCATATAAGGCAGAGCATGCCTAGTACTGCTCCGTTTCTTTTCATCACCATCTCAGTTAAATGAAGTGCTGCACTGCTGCAACTTTCCTCTATGTTTTTCTGTTTTTCTGTATTGGTGACTTCTTCTGAAGTGTTTTCTTTATTTTCATTAACCTTAATGCAACAAGAGAGCCAATTTCAATCCCTTGACTGAGATACAGAACTTCTTTAGTACCTTGGAGAGGAACCCATGCCTGATACATGCTTCATCTATGTTTCCTGTAAAATCTGAGTGACCCAGAGCTAGTTATGTACATTTCTACCTGAGGAGACTATGCAAATTCTGTAAGATGAGCTAGTGGCTTAAGTTGAACTGCTCAGCAGAGGCCTGTACCATAGGACCAACGTGGACTGTTCTCTTAAGTTTGTCTCAAGTAGCATGAGGAAAGTCCTCTTGAGTGTATAGAGTTATTGTAGAGGCCGGTCAGTGAAGATTATCTCTGGCACTGACTCACCAGCGCAGGCTAAGCTAATGCAGTATAAGCACACACTGTCCTACTTGCATTTGATCCTAGTTTCACTCATAACTCCAGTGTCTCCTTTGCTGTTTGGATGTGCTTCAAAAGTGCTGCCACGTGACTAGTCATCTCCATGCTCTGCCCTCCTAAACCATAGAGTGGCTCATGAGCACCCTTGGGGTATTGAGGACGGTGCTAGAATGTTACCAGCATAGAGTCTTTGCTCTACTGCAATGTTTCTTTGTCATGTGTAACGCTGACTCCTCAAAACTAGGAGCATGAACACTTTACCTGCAGAAGGTAAAGGTGTTCTCCAGAAATTTCTTAGGAGGACAAAGATGCTCATCCTGGTAAAGTGAAACAAAGTGCTGCTATTGTGACGTTCATTCTCCTAATGGGTTATGCTCTGAAGGCGTATCAAGAGCCTAGGTACCTTTCCCAGTAGCTATAGCTTAGCAAGGGTGTTGAATGTCCCAGAAGCTATGCCACCTACAAGTGAACAGAGAATGAACAGACATCTTTCCAGGAAGTCAACCCAAACTAATTTTTTCTTCAAGACACTACCAGGGGCCACTGCATGCTCTGTCCTAACTTGCTTTTGCACCACAGGAAACATTAAGCCTAAGTATCATGAAGATCAACAGTCTTTCAGGAGCTACCTCTGTGGGTGTTTTATCATTCTTAATGGAAAAATGAAACTATTGCTTTTCTGAGTGAATACTGCATCCGTAAATTAACATTTTGAGAGAAAAAGTAAATGGCACCCCTTCATCTGCCTATTGAATCAGAGTGCGAGTAGATCTCCTTGGTGGATATTTACAAAAAGGGGAGAAAAAAGTTTATGATTTCAAACAACATATGTTTGTTCATACGGAGTGTACATGCGAACCTTCTGTCTCAAAATACTTCAAGTTACTGGTAAATAACCTTTCTTCCTCTTCCGTATAATTCCTTCAGTTTAACATGCCTCACTTGCAGTGTGTTCTGTACCCTATGGGAAGCAGTGCTCTAGGCAGTTCTATAAAGCGACCACATGGATCTTTGCTCTTGTTTTCATCCTTTTTTTTTTTCCCCTCTGGAGGAACACTATCTCAGACCAAAATCTTTTACCTTGTTTTAGATATAAAATTGTTAATCAGTATAAACAAAGTGAAGACATCTATTGCTGGCGCAATGTATCCTATTTTATGTATGATAAATGAATGTATTTGTGGGCTGCTTTCATTTAAGATGGCTTTCTGTCCTTTGTCTATGAAAAGTGCCAGGTTTTTTTTTTAAGTTTTTCTATCTTCAGTGTTTTTTCATCTTTTTCCTTTTAGTTGACTGAAGCCAAGGTGGGCGTGATATTCTTTTTTTATTTTTACTAAAAGTACTTAAAATTTTTGCCTGTATTTTGCCAACTTATTTGTAATGCTACTCTACCACTTATGCTGTAAGAAGCCTGTTAAAAGACTTCAGATTAAATGAAAAGCCTGCACAAGTTGGTCATCAGCAAAAGTATGTTCCTGTCAGAATTTTTTTTATGCTGAATTTTGTCAGTCCGTTTCATAAGTAGGAATGTGCAGAGGTTATGAAAACAAGTAGTTTGAAAATGGGGATTTCAGATGTTGACCCTATATATTTTTGCTTGCTTTCATTTCCCTCCCCACCCATTCCACCTTTCTTGCAGTAATAACTAGAGCGCGTACATGGAAGAAACTGGAATTCCATCAAACCTTTCTCATATTCTTTGCGTACCACATGCAGCTGTCATGAGGGGTGGTGGGGAGAGCCCATCAGTGCAGTGGACATTGTTAGTTCAAGTTCCACTGCCTGAGCAGTGATAGAGCCATCATTTTTCTTTTGGTTTGTAAAAGCTTCATATCTTAAAAAAAGTATCTAATCTCAAAAATGCAGTTTAGTCCAAACATTTGAGTGAGGAGTTGCCTAGTAAAATTATGACCTATGTTGGTCAAGCAATCAGTCTAGATGATCCCACTAGTCGCTTCTAGCACTCAGCTTTTAAATACATGAAATAATGATAATCCTTTGAGAACTCTTACTTTGCAGAACGAAGCTGGCAGTTCTGATGGACAAGAATCAAGTGAGGAAGCAGAACTGAAACGCAAGAAGATAGAAGCACAGAAGGTAATTGTGAGGAAGGGGGGAGCAGGAATTCATTATTTAAAATTTCCTTTGCATCTCCTGGGTTTTTTAACTTTTAATTTTCTTATCCATAGTTTATTCATTCGTCTGCTACAAGAGGCTTTTGTCTTTTTAAGGATGATGAAACCATAAGTATTTTAACTGTACTGAAGCGACAACTCTTTGTTCAACTGATTTGCCTCAGTAATTTGAAAATACATTGTGACAGAGGTCAACAAGCAAGAAGATTTTTCTCATCTTTGAGATTTTTCTTTAGATTAGCTTTAGTCCTAGAAGCAGTTTGGCATAACTAGGATAGTACTTTGATATGGGAAGGGAAAATATAGCATAAATAACCATTTTATTTATTTTAGGTTGGAAAAACCCTTTCTGTATGCTGACAGGGACTACATGTAGATTGGAAGGTGAAATATCATGAAATGATGTATCATGAAATATATCTAATTCTGTGTTTTAAAGCAAATGTTGTGATTCATAGAAGTTCAATGTTTATTTGGAGTTTTACTCCATGTGTTCTTATCAAATATTCGTTTACTTTTTCCCTCATCTTCAAAGAGCATTGTAAAAACAAGCTGACCTTAAGCCTGACCTTAATTAAAGTAAAAGTAGAGATGAAACAACAACTGGAACTTTTTATGTAGAGTTTCAACTGAATATTTGCAATTGCATGATTAATGCATTTAGCTTCAAAATTAATTTTAAAAGAGATTCCAATTTTAAAGGACTTCCGTTTAAGATTACTTAGCACACTAGAAGTATTACCATGCTAATGAAGAATGTTAAGTAAAGTCTGAGGAGCTGTTACTATTTTTGAGACAGGAGATCAGTTACAGTTACATGGTGATGTTGATTATTGGTGGAGTCCTCTCTTCATAGTCTATAAAGTAAGTGAGAGAAAGGGAGATGAAATGATCCAGTAATGTTTTTTTTTTTTTTTGTTATTATAGGCCCAAGCAAATGCTCGAGCTGCAGTTCTGAAGGAGCAATTAGAGCAAAAGAGAAAGGAAGCATATGAAAGAGAGAAAAGAGCTTGGGAAGAACATGTAAGCAAATATGCAGTCGCAGTACATAGTGCTATGTCTTTGTGTGACTAAAATCTTATATTGAGATTTTCAAGCTAAGATAATTAATTTGTCCTCTGAAACTGAGGAGAACATTTTGTCAATCAGAATTCTCTCATTAGAAGCCTAATATCAGGTATACTTGAATGAAAAATATGGCTCAATAATTTTAGAACACCAAACAACGATTAGGATTGCACTAAATATTTGATTAATAATCCATAACTTACCAAAGTGGACATAATTTTATTTTGCTTGTGTGTGCTATAGATTGGAAATAGTGCATACGTACAGTTGACAGGTTTTTTTAGTAGTATGAGAATTTGATATTATTGTCCTTTTCTAAGGTTACGTGAACCTATTTGATAGTACTGCATTTAACATGCAAAATCATTAAGAAATGAACAGTTGATGATTAGAAAGGTGTCATCCAACTACTTTCTATTGATGCAGGAAGCTTTAAAAGCTGTCATAAATTAGGATATAGATTAAGTTACATACAGCAGTTTATATATAAAAGCTATCACAGTGATGCTCCGTTTGATCTTTAAAACAGAACTTGAAGTGTTATGCGGAAAGCAGGCATGTATAAAACTAGTTACTCAAAAACACCACCTTTATCATACTTTAGCATAGACTTGGTAGACTGTACCATCAACTTACTCCCCTTGAAAGCTTGTTGTAGGGCAAATAATTTGTTTTATTCCTAGAAGTAACAGGAGAAGATTTCAAAGTGGTGCTATGAAAGGGTTGAGTCTTTTTCTTATTGAAAGAAGTAATTTTTAGGAAAATGTGATCAGGTAAAATAGCAGCCAGGGAGAAGAAGGGTAAGATATTTGAGACCTCATCAAGCTGAATTGTCTACTTTGTTGTCCCTTGAATGCTATCTGTTATTCGCCAATCGTGATTTAAAGCCAACAGTATATTTGTCTATTTGTTCTTGCTGTGATAATTTATATGGCCTGAAAACATACATAAGTTTACTTCTGTTTTTGATTTTAAAGTTACAATCACTGATCTTGCAAAAGGTTTCTTCCTGCCATTATAGTATACCTTTCTTCTGAATTTTGTTCAGTGTTCTACGTTTTGTCTTTAGTGTGAAGTTTCTAATTTTCACTGTTAAAGCCAGCCATTCTGTAATGAAGATGCTTGCTATCTAAATAGGTTCCTTGAAAACTGTGTTCGTAAATTCTGCTTCAAGTAGAATTTAGTTTATTTAGTCTGAGTTATTTTATAGATTTAACCTTTTTTTCTTTTTAACTACATATAGCTGATAGAGAAAGGAGTAAAGAATCCTAATGTGCCTTTTCACGTGGGAGCTACAGGACACAGTCCTTTGCATGGCTTACAAGAGCATGGACCATCTCCTAAGCCACAACTTCCACTGAAGCCTGATACACCAGTCATCTCCATGACTTCTGCTTTGAAGGAAGTGGGTGTGGTAGGTACTTTGCTAGAAGGTAAAAGAAATGAAAAAATGGGCAAATATACTGATTTGAAAAAGCGCTTTTAGAAGAATGTGTAGATTAGGTAAAAGAATACCTGAAAGTGCATAAGGACGCTAGATGCTTTTAATAAAACATAATAAAAAAACAAAACTTAAAAACTGCTGAAATAGTACATTGAAACTCCTAATTCAATCCATTTTGGACAAAACAGCCTATTTCTCATGAGGCCTGAGTTGCGCCTTCAGTTCTGATCAATGCGGTCATGACCAGTGGACGAAGTCATCAACTAACCAGAGTTTTCATCTACCTCTTGAAGTCAGGAGATATCTGGTGGAAGTGACGAAATAAATTTTGAATGATAGGACTATTTCATTTTAATTCTTGTTTTCAGTGAATTTAAAAGTGTGCACTGTATATAACAAAAGTTTGAAACTAGCATCTGATAGTCTTTTCTTCTTGTTATCTGAGTCAGTATTAGACTTCCTTATTTTTCTTTTCTATGTTCTTGGATCCTGATACTGTAAATGCTTACATATTTACCTGAGCTACCATATATAGTCCCATTCGATGTAAGTTACAGTTGTGAAACTAAACATATGCATAAATGTGTGTAGAATTTGAGTTTTGAATACAATCTGCATTAATTTGAACATTAACTTTGCTTTTTACCTAGTTTTGTTTCAGTGTAATGCAGAATTATATACTGTCTATAGCCGCAAAGGCTATGACTATAGAAATACAGTGAAATTTTATATAAAATGTTTTATATATAATATGCTACACTGAAAGCTGTCAGCTGATAGCTAGAAAAATAAACAAAATCATGTTCCAACACACAAATATTTAAATCACTGTGACTTTTTAAAATGTGAGTAAATCTATCTTACAGTAACACAAGATGATGACTGTATCTAACTTAAAATGAAGCTTTCTGTGTAACACTGAGCAATTTGAAAAGACTGATCTTGTACACAAAGAATTTTTTTTTAATTCTACATTTCCACTTTCAATTTTCAGTTTTATTACCTATTTACTATTTTGTAGTTTTGAAGAGTAAATATGCATCCTGAACTGAGCTCATGTTGACTGGGTTTTGGAGGCCTTGTGCTCTAGTTCAAATTCCAGTGCTCCTATCATTGAGGCAAATCAGGAACGCAGAGCGTTTCTCTGAAATACTTCACATAATGGAATATTTGGCTTAGTTTAGTGTACTCATGCACCTGCCTATTCTCAGTCAGCTCACTCTGGACAGGTTTTCTGATGTGTTTTCAGATATCAAGGAACTGCTATTTTCTTATTCTTTACTAACTATTCATTAGGTATGCTGTAATCACTCAATGAAGTTGTCTCTTCTCCTTTCTGCCTTACTTTACAGATGTTCCTCGACTCTGTCCTTGCCCCTTTCCTGTTTTCTTCTAGAATAACTCATCTAGAATTACTCTCATTTCTAAAGTTGGAATTTGGTGGCGTTTTGCTGTAGATATCTTATCTGTCTTCATCTCCACCAGTTTTGTGCTCTGAATTTTCATGTCTACTTAAACTGAGTCTGATTCTTTTGCTCACCGCTTTCAGATAGTGAACAGTTCAAAGACGAGCTGTCTTTGAAATTCAGTCTTTGGGAAGCACCATAAAAACAGAAGTATCATACATTCTGTCTTAATCTATCTGCAGTTGTCAATGGAATGGACTTTTCTCTATATGTTTTAGTATTCTGAAGATTATTTTTCTGACATACTGTCCTACATTGTTTTGCATGCTTCTTGGATTTAAAGGATGAAAATGTAACTCTCATCCATGAAGCTGAAGAGGAAATAAAAAAAGCAGATTTTGCGATGCAAGTATGTTTAGTTAAATTAAGTTTTCTTTCTTTTGCTATTTAAAAATGTACTATTTTAAGTGATATATGTTGGCCTTTATTTCAGAATAAGCGAGATATATTAAGAAGACTGAATCAAAATCTTAAAGCCCAAGAAGATGAGAAAGGAAAAAAGGAGAGCAAAAACATATCTGAATCAGTTTTGTCTGAAGGCGCTAAGGAACAGCGAGAAGATGACTATCCACTTCCAGGAGATCGCAAAAAATGGGAATCTGGAGCATCGGAGTTGGTAGTTCCTCTAGCTCAGTTATCAATGGAAGACTCTCTCTCTGGAACAGACCGTAAGTGCTTTTCTGTCACTATGATATTAATATATCAGTTTACCATGCATAGTGTCTCTTTTTCAGAAAGCAGGTGCTCTGTTTTTATCTCTTTGTTAGCAATTTTGTGTCTTCTGCTTCTAAACCAGCTGGTTATACTTTCCCTCATAGGATGAATAAAGCACGGGTTGAGGAGTCAAATAAGTGGCCTGCAGAGGTTAATTAGTATTTGTTTTCAACAAATAGTTACTTAATTAAATATATGGTTACTTTCTTCAAGCTGCAGCTGTAAGTATCTTTTAAATAGGCACTAACTGAACAAAAAGAATAGAAAGCACTTAGGCTATATACAAATTTCTTAAGTTTTAATTATTTCTCCTTCCATTCCTTCCGATAGTGTTAAAGGCAACTTATGGCAAAAGACTCAATTACAGGATGCTATTTTTCAGCAGAAATCGATCAATTTTCTTAAGATGCAATGCAAAAAAAAAAAAAACAGAGAGAAAGCAAAAAATAAAGTGAAGATGAGATGTGATCCCTATCTGTCTTGCAAGCAAAACAGTGGAAAAAATTGTAAATCCAAGTACACAATGGTGATGCTTATTCCCTCTCTTTAGTAAAACAACAACAAAAAACCATACAGGATAGGCAATCTCATCCTGTCAAAACTGATTGAGATCTGTGTCCAGTGTTCTTATGAATAGGCATGGGCTGCACGATAGGCTGACCTGCACAGGGCAGGTCGATTGCTGCTAAAAACTTAGGCAGTTTCTAACCTATAAATATTAACTAAAAAATGAAATTTGTAATTCTGATTAACAGATTAGAGTGTTTTCAAAAGACAGGCTGCTATGACCCCCTGTGGGCAACCTGGAATTTGCACAGAATAAAGGTCTCGACACCTGTAAAAATGACCATAGAATTAAATTAAAATTCTCCTTGTATTCAATGTATTTATTTAATTATACTTAGAAATCCTTTTATGTTGTCAGGAGAGCAATAAGATCTGAGTTTTCTTCCATTTACATCTGCTACTTTTATTTCATCATATTGTACCCTTTATCAGTTTCAGCTTGGTGGGGTTTTTTGGGGGGAAGGTGGGTTTGTGTTGATCAAGACTCTTCAGATTTTTATCAGCTTTCTCTGGTCTTCTGGGTGGAAGACCTTTTGCTTTTTTTTCAGTATGTCTTATTGGGGCTGTTTCACATTGCAGGAATAATTAAATAATCATTGATGGAATGGTGGACTTACTTCATAGCATAATAGTTTTATGGCTATGATGTCGTAAGATCAAGAAACTTCTGTCTTTTGCTGTCCTTTCCTTTGTTGCCACTCTTTGTTATTGTCAGAGGAATCAATAACAGAAACAAACGTCACAAAGTAGAAGGAGGACAAGACGTTTTCTAGTTTCCCTCCCATATGAGCAAGTTGGTAGGAGCAGAGATGAAATTTCTAATCAGACGAGGTTCAAGTCAGCTCCTGCCAGTATTAAAGCACCTGACTTACTGAAAAGACTTGCTGCTATTAAGTTGCAAGTAAATTAACTGTCATTCTAATAAGCTTGGCACTGAAAGGAATCATCAGAAGAAAAACTCTGGGCTTTTGAGCGCAGTCTTTAGGCTATTGCGCTTGGGGTGAGGTGGTATGAGTCTGACTTTGTAGTTTCTAGTTTTGGGGGAAGTTATTTGTTTTGTTTCTTTTATTAAATACAAAGTGACCAGAAACATCTAATGTATTTGTGCTTGTATCCTCACAGGACAAACTCTGGGGGAAGTAATTAAATTAGATATTGGTGAACCTCACAGGAAGGTCTGGGGCAAAAGCCCTACTGATTCAGTCCTGAAGATCCTAGGAGAAGCAGAGTTGCAGCTTCAGACTGAATTACTAGAGGAACTAGATGTAACAAATGGTAAGCGCTGCTGGTAATTATCTGTGCTGCGGAGGTAGGAAATGATCTTGTAAAGGGCTTTTTCTTTTTTTCTTTTTCTTTTTTGGTAAGATGAAAAGATTCTGCTGCTCTGCCACTTTTTTTTTTTTTTTTGCCTTTAACTTTCAATATATAGCAACTGTTTTCAACAGCTGTTCTCCAGTATGGATTGTGAAGTTTTTCTGTTGAGGACAATTTTGAAGTAATGGAAGCATAATCTGTCCTTACTGGTTCTTTGCAATTCTGTGTGTTGCCTCAGTTCTAAATATGTAACATAAACTGATACAGAAAGACACCAAAATATTTGAAACTCTGCCAAGCAGTAAGACGTTAAGAAAGATGTGCTGAAAGGGAATGATCTTCATTTTTGTTGAAGTGTCTCAGACTTTACTTATAAATATAATCGAGTCTGTTTTTTAAAAGGGATATCATCAACTCACTATATTATAGAGGTCTTATAACCTTCATGTTAGCATGTGACTTACATATTAGTTAAATTTTTTTTCAGGTCAACTCCTACTTCTCATCCTTAAACTAGATATCAAATTTAAGCAGTATGTTTCTTTTTAGGGATGTAAATTCTGTTGCTTCCTCGTCCTTCCTGTCTTTCTGATGAGCGACCTTTTCACTTTTGTCTTTTCCTTCCTCTTTTCTTGTGCTTTATAAATGCTAGATTCAGTAAGCTGGCAGAGTTCCAGTATGTTTGTCTTTGTGAAAACAAAATATTAGTTTATTTTAATAGAAATAAAAATGGTAATTTGCTAAAGAAATGTAAGGCTGTTGTTTTTAAATTATACAAACCTTAAAAGCCATATGCTATTATGCCTTTTTTTGTCCCATGACTTAAAGTATGTAATGGTTATCATATTTTACCAATTTATCAAGATTGGTTAAAATTTAATTTAAACTTTGAAATGCAAGAAAACAGTACAATTTATTTCAAGTGTAGACACGTACTAATTATATAGCAAGAACACCTGCTGTTACAGAAAACAAAAATGGTATTTTTAGTGCTTCTATTTCCCTTCATAGAAAGGAAGTAGATAATTTTTCATATGGTAAAAAACATGCGAATTTTTCTACTCTGAATATAGGTATTTTCCTTTTTAAAAAAACTTTCTTGACTCACGTTGTAGTTTATTATTGAACTATGTCAAAGCACAGCGCACTGTTTAAACTATAGAATGATTTTGTGTTAGATGCTGCAGAAGTTACTGAAGGAGACTATCAGTCCTTAATCATAAAAAAGAATAATGAGGAGAAAACTTTTCCTACTGTGGAAGCAAAGTCTGTGGTACCAGTTGGTCTCACTGAATCTGAAACAACTGTACCAGAAGATTCTCAAAGAGCTGAACCTATCCAGGCACAGTACAAACCTATTATGCTGGATGGTAAGTCGTTTCATTAGTAATTCTAATTACGCTCTATTCCAATTCAGTGGCAAAAGAAACAATCCTGTACCCCTTTATATTTTCCTTTAAGTGATGTGCAATTATGTATTCTTAATCCTTTTAGATAGGTCAAAGTATTTTCTATGCTTGTATTGTAATTTGACTTACCAATTTATTATGTTAAATGCCAGAAACTCTTTGTGTGCTTATAGAGAATTCTCTAGATGGCAAATGGAATTCTGAAGTGCTTCCATGTTTTTTGTTTCTCCCCATCAATTGTGCTGGGATCTTTTCCCATGTATGTTATAGCAGCACCTTGCTAACCTCTGGGGGAAGGCTGCTGAGTTTTTTTTGAAGCACAGCTCCTTGGAGCCCTTAGAGTACTTTTTTCTGTACCAGAGCCAAACTTTTAGTTCTGGGGTTACAAACTGTTTCCGTTGTTCTTGTGAAATACAGAAAATGATTAAAGCTCAAGGACTTAAATGCAACCTTAAGATTAAAAAAAAACCTTTGTAGTCTATCATGTCTTTTTGTTTGCTTGGGATTTATTTTTGATGAGGTGTCTGATTTCAATAATTTTAGAGCCTGATGATTTGGAAGCAGAGATATTGGAAGAAACAGAAGAAAATAAAAAGCACAAAACCAAGGAATTTCCCGTCACTGTTAATGATGTGTGGGTGAAAGAGAAAGAGGATAAGTACGTACTCTTCCTTTGATCTTTTCTCTCCGGTTTAAAGAACCAAATTTAACTGAGTAGGATTTAGATAGATCAGGTAAAAGGTTAAGTTTAGTTAAAGCTTCATTGCTTGTCTGCCATGTTCATTTTACTGCATTTGGTGGCCAAGGTTTTGTTTTTTTTTCAGTAGACTAATGACTATTTTCATGATATTTCCTGTGGATATGATGTTTATAATAGGGCACACTGTGACAAAAAAAATGAGGCCACTTCTGTGAAGGTAGTCCTTGACAAGGTGCAACCACAAGAAGCAGCTCCAGAAGGTCAGTTGAAGACTTTTCCGTCCATTATTACTGGCAGTAAGAAGTACTTGTGAATACCTTTCTCACTTAGGCACTAACCCTGAAAGAACAGGTTTTCTAGTTTTTTCTTTTTTTCTTTTTCAGTTCGTACTTCTAAAGACATATTTCTAATAGATTAGGGAGACAAATTCTAGGGGCAGGGAATCTTAAGTGGGGAAAACAACATATTATAAAGCCATATTATATATACAAACTCAGGAAAAACCCATGTTTTAATACTTACAAGTGAATAAGTGCTATAGCCTTTTAAAATGACTATTTAAAATGTTACAAAATCTGCTAATTTTACTTGCTAGAAGTGTTGCTTTGTTTATACACCTCTCTAATAAAAGCCACTATTTTAAATAGCTACTAATTATAATATTAATGCTTAGAAGACTTACTTGCTCTTAGTAGTCTTTGAAGTAATTTCAGAATCTCTCTGCAATACTTTCAAGTATCATTGATGATTTATATTTTGTTTTTCTTGTGGTATCAATTGCATTCATCAGGTAGTTCACTAGGTAATGAGAAACAAGAAAACGTGAGAGCAGAATAGACTATACCTGAGGGCAATGTATTCTCAAATAGTTAAAAATAATGGGAGAACTTCACATTAGAATGCATTACTAAAATAATCTGACAGTTTAATACTCCTATAGCGCTATCTATTTTCCACTGTAATTGTACAGCTGAAATAGTTTCAGTTTAGTTACCTTTTGTTTAAGAGCCTGGGATTTTTAATCTTTGTAACAGACTGTCTCTTACCGCACCAGGAACTTGTTCCAATGACTCTCTGCAACCCGAACCCTTATTCCAGAGGGTAATACAGCCCCCAGTTGTACCAACCGCTTCACCAGTTCTGTCAGCTCAGTCTTCACAGGAAGAACCTTTGGTACCTCGTTCACGTTCCATATCACCAGCCAAAATTAAAGGCAAAAGTTCTTTGTTGACAGGACTTTCTACAGGGCTGTTTGATGCAAACAACCCAAAGGCAAGTTAAAAAAAACAAAAAAAACCTTTTATTTCTATAGTAATATTCTTCTAAATTTCTTACTGAGGCTTACTTACACTGAAAAACTTCATTGCCAAAACAGATGGCATAGTGGTTTCAGCAGATGTTTGTATTTGTTTAATGCTTGTGATGCAGTATGCCTCCACTGTGTTCATTGTATCAGCAGGAGCCACATAGCATTGTGAGTCTTAAAATTCTGGATGGTGAAATCAAAGTTCAAAATGTTTATGGAGGAATGCCACTACTTCTCTTGGATATAGCTGAAGGAGTTCATGAGGAAATTCCTAATTCCACTGATCTCCTTTCTCTTTTGTGCCATTTTTCGGACTTACCACCACCTTACCATCAGAAACATAAACACTGAACAGATCAGCAAAGGTGTTTAGTTATTTCTGGCAAAAAGGTGGTGGATGTTGTTTCTCTGAAATTTAACCAGCTACCACAGGTGAGCTGGAAGACTGAAGAAGAGTGAATGGATCTAAATGCATTTCCTGACAAGCTACGTAGCTAGGTAGTTCGCAGTGTGTGAAATGATCATATAGGATGGTGAAATGTGGTTATAATACAAACTTAAGATGTTTTTTTAAAAAGTTATGGAACTTGTTAGATGAAATTGACTTCTTTCTTAAAATTACATGAAGCGTTTGCCCTCGTTCTAACATGCAAAGAATATAAAGGAAGAGCTGCTTTTTGGAGAAATATACATGGCAAGGATTCTCTAGAAACTTGCGCACTTGCTTTGCATTCAGTCAATATGAAATATGAAATAAAGGTAGTGGAATGTCAGATGATTTAAAAAAAAGTGTCTGTCTTTGACTCTCAGTCTTGTTTCTAACTGCCTGAACAGAAATTGCACTGTTTAATGGTTAATCAAATATTGAGTTATCTCAACTGGTTGATGCATTGCTGGGAAGCATAACACTGGTGCAGTCCTCTTTGCATCTTTGGGAAAATAAGGCTTCTTGGCAAACTGCAAACAGACTATTTTCACAGACCCATGTGTTCACGTAAATGGATTTATGACTCTTATGGTGATTCATGCAGAGTTAGTCTGCCATTAACTTCCCTAGTTTATGAAACAGTTTGTCTGACAGCTGGATAATATGAGCCACCTCAGTGTGTCACTTGTTATTGTGTATTTGGCATGGGTTTTGGGCATAAGTGTTTCTCACAGCTGCGGATTTGCTGTTACTGCTGCAGTCGACTTCCTAAAAGAAAAAGGAGAGCAGCCTGTGGTTGTAGTAGTCAAAAAAGCATATGTTGGTACAAATAGCAGCAAAGAAGAGTCTGCTGGGGAGGTGTTTGTTTTTTTTCCACTGATTAAAATTTAGGAGATAACACTAAACACGGATGTATTCAGAGCTATGCTGAAGGAAAGTGAGTCTTACTGGTGAAGCTTCTTAGTCCAGATAAGGTCTTGTTTCTTGTTTTAGCAATACAGTGTTGAATATTTAGTATACTGTTCTAGCAGTACGGTGTGGAATATTTAGTATATTGTTTGGACAACTTAAAAAAGAGATCCTGTTGATCACTGAGCAAACGGTTACTTTGTCTCCATGTTGCTTTATTTCCCTTGCAATGAATTAGTGTTTTAAACAAAAGCTTCTTCCTTCTTGATCTAATAATTTGGAACAGCTTTGACATATCTCATAAGCAGAACTTAATGTTTTCACTGACCCACCTAGAGATGAAATAATAAATGTCAGTTTTTAAATATATTCCTTTGTCAACTATTCACAGCTGTGTTTTAAGTGTTTGCTTACAACACATGCTTATAAAGTGCATTTATGTTACTTATCCACCGCAGTGTTCCTTTTCTTAAGATAGCCATCAAGCTAATGAACAAATCTGCACAACAGCAGAATATGTATGTCAGTTTATCTGTCTCTTTTAAGCTTTTCAGTCACTGTAACCCGTAAAGGTGGAAGGAACGCTTTCCACTTATTCTAAATGTCAAATTTTCAATAATTAGGCTAGCTGGGCTGGTCCCCCCGCCCCTTTTTTTTTTTTAAGCTGATCCTCAAATGATGAAGCCAAAAAGTTGCTTTTAATATAATGTGTAACATCAGACTTTTTTGATTCGTTACCAAACATGAAGCTTTCTTATTGCCTTTGCAGATGTTGAGAACATGTTCACTCCCAGATCTTTACAAATTGTACCCAACTCTAGTTGATGTTCCCAGTGTAGCAGATGTACAGCATCAAGATGATCTTGAAATAGATGATACGGAAGATGAACAAGCCAAAGAAGTACCCTCTGATTCTGAGGATGTGTGAGTGTAATATGTTTATCTACCATTTCAAAAGGTATCTTACAGCAAGTATATTTTTGGTTAGACACTAATAGTTATACACAGTATGCCAGGATGAGGGTTTTTAACCAAATAGTGAGAACTCTGTGTTGCTTTCAGGAGGCAAGTTTGTTCGTTCGAATCACCGTTCACTCTGAGTCTTACTTGAAGAACTGAGAAATTAATTGGATGTGCTGTTTATGATAACTGTCTGAATTTCCTCTCCAAATTCCATCCAAGATGCTTTTCTGTGTCTTCTCCTTGCGTTCCACTGAAACAGTTCAAAGTTGACAGCTACCAACTCTTTCAGAAATAAAGATTTCTTGAATATTTCTTTTCTTTTTATGTTCTGGGCACTCTACTCTTCTGTCTCCCTTGCTGTTTTATCAGGATACCTTTTAATCCCCCCAAATTTCTTCAGGGCTTCAAAATCCAGACCCCAAGTGTTTTTGACTATTCCCTGCAGCTTGAGTAGTCTGTGGAGATAAAATCATGTGTTGTATATGTTCTAATAAGATTTGCATCTATTTTTTGCTCCAAAATTATTTTTATTTGGATTAAAGTTTTAATTTCTTTCCAGCGTTTCCTTGTAGTATATAAATGCTGGATCAAATCCAGGGCTGTTAATTATCTTTCTTTTTTCCCCTTCTTCCTCCTCCTCCTCCTAAAATTTTTTCACTTGCCTCCTTTCTAAGTGAAATCGAGCAGTACCATTATCTTCCATATTGCTATAACTTGGACTTTTTATCCTTGTATCCAGACTCTGCCTAGGTTTTTCTGTAGGGCTGTGTGTGTTAATCGTAACACCTACTACACTGGCTTTTTCTGTCCATGCAGTTAAATAAGTCAACCAGTTTCATGCCATCTTAAGACAGGTCACAGGACTATCTTTTCCTCTAGCCTTGATAAAAAATAAGCTTTACTTACTCTTATATATCTGGAATGTTACTGGAAAAATGACTTCTCTCCTGTTTTGACCATATAATTCTCATCTGTGTTGCTATGCTAGCTCCTCTCCTTTTTTTAACCATATAAACAATGAAATGGAAAAAATTGTTTAACCTTAGCCCTTCATCTTTCTGCTTCATTTTAAAGATACTTGTACTGTTGGTCCCTACTGCCAGCTTGTACTGCCCATTTACTAAATTTACCTAACTGCCATCCTTATGGAGTTTTCTGGAATGGGTTGTCCCACATGTCTATAGAGAGCCCTAAAAATTGTATTTTTACAAAAAGCCACAGATCCTGTTTTGTCATTTGTCACCCTTCCTCTTAGCCCACTCAATGCTTTTGCCTTATCCATTGTCTGTTTAGATAGATCTGCATTCCTTGTGTCTTGCTTGATATAGTGGTAGCACAGCTGTAATCATATCGGTCTAAGAACATAAAGATCTGTAGAAAGTGCTGATTCTTTTATTTAGACCAATGATGTGATAGGAAAAAAACGTATGATAGGAAGGGGGGGAAAAAAAAAAGCTCTTCCTACAGAGTTTGTCTTGTAAGGTATTAATTACATAATATATCGTTTTATTTTAGTATGTTTGGGGAGACAGACACAGATTTGCAGGAACTCCGGGCCTCAATGGAACAATTGCTTAGGGAGCAGCCTAGTGAGGAATTCAGTGAAGAGGAAGAATCTACTTTAAAGGCCAATGCCATAGAATGCATAACAAATGGTACAGAGCTGGATGAAGAAGATGAAAATAACCCCAGCAGTGAAAGTGCACTTAATGAAGAATGGCAGTCAGGTATAATCTCTATGATGTCTGTTTGTATGTCTTTTTTTTTTTTTTTTTAATCTGTAAGACTTATTTACTGATGTTAACAATATAAACACAGGAGAAGGTTTTTGCATTATACGCTTATAATAAAATGAAGGTCTAATTAATAGCTTTTATACAAAAATTAGAAAAAAACAGATATTTACTTTTTCTGTAAGTCAAGGTCAACATCTAAGCAACAATCAATGCTGTAAATTAAACGTTGACTATTTGTTAGGCACTGATTATCAATCATTTTTTCTCTAGTCACCTACAACTTGTCTTCAAGGAAGATCAGACACATCGTATTTCTTTGAATAATTCATGACTGCAGTATAAAAAATAGCAGTTGAAATGACTGGAGTGTCTGCGATCCCACTTGTGTTAGAATTAAGTAATTCAACGGGCACTCAAAAGGAACATGAAGTTATTAACCTTGTCCTTCTCCCAAAATAGCTACTAATGGAGTCAAACTAAAAATAACACAGAAAATTATCACTCCTTTGTATTAGCGATACACAGCAATATACTGCAGTCAGTGTTCTGTGTCTAAAATTGTGGCTGAGATGTCAGTATTCTACTAGTTTTAAAATAGTGTGTTTATAAATATAGAAATAAAAAGATGTGTAAAATTAGTAAGTAATCCATAGCTATTGTGTCATTTTGCATTATTGAAGACAACTTTAAACAAATTGAAGATCTGTAAATATTCCTGTAAAATGACACTCTTGTCTAGATGATGCATTCCAGTGAGTGTGTTAAAGTAAAATAAACTTAACACTTTTTTTTTTCCCCCTTGTAGGTCAGGTAAACAAGTAGAATCTTCCATAACTCCAGTATCTATTGAGGAAGTATTTTTCTTAGACAAAAGTTTGGATTGTGTAACATGTTGGAAAATAGGATTTTACAAAAAGATTCTATCTTGTATTGTTAATTACAGCCACTGAACCCTCCTTGGAGAAGATAGCGAGGTGCTTCCCATTTGGGATTCAGAATGTATTGACTCTGTCAAGATATGGACTGTCCCTGTTTCATTGCAGGTTGTTCAGAACATCTGTCCACATCATTTAACAGTCCTGAGCTTAGCTGCTTTCATTAGATTTAGAGGTCTGTGTAGATGTTAAATTTAGGTACATGGAAACAACATACTCGGAATGTGGGAAAACGTCTCAATTTATTATTTACTATTGCTTGCTCTTTCTTTGTAGATAATAGTGATGGAGAGATTGCCAGTGAATGTGAAGAATGTGATAGTGTCTTCAGCCATTTGGAAGAGTTGAGATATAACCTGGAGCAGGAAATAGGCTTTGATAAATTCATTGAAGTTTATGATAAAATAAAGGTTCGTGAAATAACCTCAAGTGGGAAATATTTTAAGAAACAAGATGAACGTACTTAGGGCCGTTTACTGCACTAGTAACTAATTGCACTGTCTGACTAGAATTAACACACGTTTCTTAGCTTTTTATTTTGTTTCAACATACAGAAATACTAACACACCAGTGGATTAAAGAGGAGAGCTTTGGGTTGAACTGTGAATTGCGTTGAATAAATCTGAACTATTTAATTTTATATACATTCTAAATTTGGCCACATGGATTGTCCTTTCTCCTAGGCTATACATGAAGATGAAGATGAAAATATTGATACTTGTTCAACCATAGTTCAAACTATTTTGGGAAATGAACACAAACACCTGTATGCCAAAATACTTCACCTAGTAATGGCAGACGGAGCCTATCAGGAAGGTAATCTCGCATATTCTGGCAATTATGGGTCGTCTTTGTCATATGTTCTTTCTTGGCTATATTCAATAGGTTCTAATATACTTTTAAAATACCTCTGTGTTTTATTGTTATAATGATTGGTTAAATTGGTAAAACTCACTTTTTTCACAAAGGGTATTCTTATTGCTGCAGCAAAGCATGGCAAACTTTGATAAAGCACATTGACCACTGATTTAACAGGATGTACAGTCACCTATAATAATAACAGATGTCATCTTAAAGGTGAAGTATTATTTAATTTCTGGAATACAGTCATGTAGATAGGGAAGATCAAAGACCAGCATAAAACTTTCAGAATTAAAAATAATTTTAAGAGTTAGTGATTTTTTTTTTTTAAAGTATAATAATACTGTTCTTTCCAGAACTGTCCTTTTAATGGGTTGCAGTGTTATTTGAACCAATCATTACTTTTCTGAGAGAAAAACTTCATTTGGTTCTTTATTGTATAGTTGTCATTGCCTAGAAGAACTTGGTGTGGTGATATGATCTATCTTAGTTTTCAGGCAGCTCAGTGACACGTGAAGATAATTTGTCTTGGTGGGAACCTACCTAGATTAGCAGTTTACTAAGCAAATGGACAGTTACCCAGAGTCTGCAAAGGGTCACTCCATGAGATACCACACAGCCCGTTATCACTGAGAAAAACTGGTGTTTTTACCCCATGTGCCAAGAAATAAATTGCAGTTACATAATTTTAGCTTTATAATGATGAAAACCTTTGCTGAAAAAAGATTCAGAAATCTGAAATATCTCAAATTATTTTTATAGACATTGGAAATATAATATATCGTTTTTGGAAGTGTGTGCAATGATTATTGTGTTTAATGCATTAAATATTTAAAATTTGGAAATATATGTTACTCAACATCTATTTTCTGCATATTTAAAATTCTTTTACTAATCTGTTGCAATAGCAAGTGAATAAAGGGTCAAGTAAGATTATTCTAATTATGGGTGGAGGATTTCTAACACAAATCACTGTTTCCATTTTTCCAATTTTTGTTTGACAATGTTGCAGAGCAGTTCAGTCAGTCAGAACACCAGTACTATGCTGGTTTCATTCGGTATTATAAAAGTGTGACCAAAAACAACATCTGAAAAAATTTGTTTCAACCACAACTGATTGACTGAACAGAATTGGAAAGATATATTGTGGTAGTTATTCTTTCAAGCATCCAAGGGACTGACAATATACAATGGGAGAAAAAAGTGTTACCAGTTTATTTTCATTAACACTTTGCCCTAAGGATATTTTAAAACTAGTACTAAAGGCTTAAAATGACAATTTGCTGAAAATGTTTGGCATACTTTTAAATTGTGAGCTGTTGTCTGTCTAAGCTATTAAAATGAGCTGACTTTGATCTTGCCAAATGCTGATTAACAAGTTGCTATTTTTTAATAGCTTCAGTTCTACTTCTTTATTTTATAAATCTGTGGTAGCATATGAAAATGTAAAGGAAAAAAATAATTCTATATTTTGGAGATTTAAAAAGAAAAAAACTATGCTAATAAAAGTGAACAGAGGACAAATGAGACACAAGCTCCTGAACATGCTTCTGATTGTCAAGTTTTTTATTCCTTAAGAAGAGTTAGGAAAAAAATCTATATTCTTCTTTACTAAGAGCATTGTCCTGTGTTGACAACTCCTGACTAAGTGAAGCAGGCAATTTGAGATGCAACTACCTTAAGAAATTCACTAATCCAATAAAGATGTTCAGTGTTGTTCACTTTTTGTACCCCTAGTGCTTTCAAGGCAGTTTTGATACCAGTTACGTCTTCATTTCTGACTAAATGAATTCTTCTATTTTGCTTGTTAAATTGTTTCTCCAAGTTTTTGTTTTCTTACTCCAGGCTGATTTTTATCTTCTGCCTCCTTCCCCACCCCCCTGTGTTTTTTACAGATAATGATGAATAAACCTGACTCAGGAAATTCCTTAACGCTGTACTATATATCAGTGTTTGAATTCTGCACAGTGGAATAACAATTGTAGCAGGAAATTGTAACATTGGGCAGGAAAAAGATGTAAGAAAAGCATGTTGATTGTATGAAAAAGGGGGGGGGGAAACATGCCTTTTAAATTGAGATATTTATACATTTCTTTTTTGTGTTCTTGCATATGTGTTCATTAACTATTACTTGCCCAAAATTAAAAAATGTATATGTAATTCATCTTTCAAATTCAAACTGAAGTACAGAGAATGCCTGAAGATGTTTTGATACAAAACTGAGACCTATCATGTAATACAGAAACTTTGTCATCTCAGCAGTTGGCTAGGAGGATGAGAAACAAATTGGAAAGATTACCATGTTGTGAAAGTATCCACTTCTAGCTGTTTACTTACATGCTCTTTATGCCTATATACAGAAGTTGCTTTGTTTTTATTGATACTTGTGGCTATATGTAGTAACATCTTAATCTAGTGGTCCAGTTTGAGCATTTCACTTTTTTTCTTACTAAAAATATATTGTATTTTGAAGCTTAAGGCTTCTGTCACTTCTTAACCAGTGTCATCTGAAATAGCTTGATGTTTCCAAAATGATGCCTCCAAATTGAGGCAAAGTGATACTTCAGTCATCATTGAAATGTCTGAATTAAGTTCTTGAGATTGTGCAGTTCATCTGGAGCTAGATGACTTTTTTTTTTTTCCCTTCTCCCCTTTTCCCTCCCCCAGCCCTTCCCCAAAATCCCAAGAACTTAGTTCTTTGAATGCTGTGATTTGGTCAATGCTAATATTGTAAGTGTCTGAAAGGGGGTTCTAGGTGGGTTGTTTTCTTTTCTTTGTTTCTAAATTTTTGCTGTTATACTCGGAGCTCCAGTAGGCACAGGGATGAAAATAAAATACTGCAGGCACAAATGCTATACAATGCTTGTCGTCTTCTGGCTCCTATTTTGTAGCTTGATTTCCTCCCCCTCCACCCTGGAAAAGGGGGGTGGGGGGAGGGAAGATTTCTTCTGCTCACCTTTCCTTGCAGTGTTCCCTCTATTAGAGCAGTACTATGCAGGGCCAAAGTTAGGCTTGTTGTTTTCCAGTTACTGTGTCTGGAAAAGCTTTCTTTTACCCACAGAATAAGTCTCTTGTTACAGATGAACTATCAAACTTCCAACTGCCCTATTGGAGGAAGTAGATTTTTTTTCTCAGCCACTGTGAAATAACAGCCAGTCAGAATTACCTAAAATTGTTTAAAGTTACTTTTCCACAGAGTGAAATCTAGTATGTATATTATTTATAACTGTCAAAATATGTACATGATTTTTGTATAATTGTTTTATCGTGTTGTTATTAAAATTTTGCCCACTGAAAAGTGGTTTGGGGCTTTTTTGTTTTGTTTTTTAACGTAGACCAAATTCTAGACTATTTCAGCTGTACCCTGGGAACCTGCAATGAGAACTCTGAAAGAATAATTACTAGTAAATGCTTTTAATATGTTGACTATATTTTGGATATCAGACTGCATTTTGGATATTATTTACTTGATCAGCACCTATTGCTTCATCTAATTATAAAGTATGTTCATTGTTAGAAACAGTGCTGGTTCTGCCCTATGCTGCTTCCCTTCCTTTTCCCCTTCCTTCTGTTTATTTGCCTTTTTCTTTTTTTTTAAGTTCCTACAGCTTTTGCTGCTTTTCACTAGACTTTCTTCCATTCCACTTCTCTTGCAATAGATTTTTCAGCAGTGAAATGATCTTCATGAGCGAAATCATCCATGACATTTAGCAAATACACTCTGAAGAGTTTAATGAAGAATGATTCTGCATTATTTTCTTTTTTTTGTTTTGTTTTTCAAATCATATCTCTTCCATATTTGTGAAGAGGGGACCCAAACCTTTAGAGTTAAAGGAGTATGGATTAATTATATAGGGGAAAAAAACATCTGGTAAATTTTTTATGCTTCTGCTCTACAATTGTTAATTTTCCTGAGGTGATACAGTCTTCTTGATGTCAAGAAAGGTTGGGGGGATTAATTCATTTAAAATTGAAATCACATTGTTATTGACATTCTTCATTTCTTATGCAGTGTGCTGGCTTGTTTCTTGTAGGGGAAAAACATGTCCGGACATAATCTGCAGACTTCAAGCTTTAAGATGTAAAGCTTTTTACCAATTAATGATTTGAAAAATATGCAGATTCTGCACAGCTCTTTGAGGAGAATAATCTTCAGACCTGCCAGCCAATACTGAGTATCCTTCAAATCCCTCAAGAACTAATTTAAAATTCACAGAGTAAATAAGTTTGTCTGCTAAAGTAATATTCTTATCTCAAATTTTAAAGCCCTATTAACGTACACTGTAACGGCATCAGGAAAGTGTGACTTTTAGGACAATTTATTGGTCTGTAGAGAATAATAAATTATTGAAATTAGTTGTTAAGTATTTGGCTTGCATTCATAATATTACACTCACTATGAAGAATTTTGTGTTGTAAATCTAATGGCAAATTGAGATATTGATAGAACGGTATTTTTGGCTCAAAAGATACTCTGTAATCTACCTTATACTAGGTACCTGTCCTCATAGTCTTTCATCTTGACCCCTGAAGCCAACTGTAGTTAGGATGAGGAATCTTTTTAAAACAAAACAAAAAATCGCTGCATGTGTGGCCTTGCAGACATAATAGATTGGAATCTTCTGGCTAGCTGTGCTGTTTACAGCCATATGTATGCCTTGAGCTTCCTGACCCTTCTAGAGAAAGCCATGAAGACCAAACAGCTATGCAGAATTAAAAAAAAGTCTTATTTTAATAGCCTGTGGCAGAAAGATGGAGCCTTGACTGTCCCAACCTCCTTTGTTTCGAGCTGAACGGGTAGTGATCCTTCCATGACTGATGATTGGTGCCTAAAATCTGTTTCAAGGAGCAGAGCCTAAAGAGGTTTTTGCTCTTCAGTTGGCTTAACTTTTGAGAGTATATTCGAAATTATTACTAGAAGGTAACTTCAGAGAAGTATATTACCTGGCTCGGCAACTTGAATCAGACTCAAAACAGATAACTACCATTTCTGTGGTGTTTCTGATAAGTGAATGGCTGATCAAAACAAAGCTCAAGTATACAATACCCTTGGCAAGATTTTATGTGCCTTCATAGACATCTACAACATTTATCAGTAATTCATATTTCAGCTTTTAGTGCCTCTGTGTTTTCTTTTTGCTATGA